TATTTCTATGATTTTGATTTGTTTTGTATTAAGTATTGTTTTGATAACTCAATTCAGAAAAAAATACTTATACTCTTTTAGAATAAATAAAACTAAACCTAAAATTTTAATTTAAGGTCTTTTTTATTTTTTTTGAGGAGAAGCATGGTAGGGTGTTAAGTGAAAGATTTTGAGGCTTAAAAATTCATTAGTAGGATAAAATATTAAGTCAAGTGAAAAAGAAACTCTGTAAAATTTATGCTAATTCTTTGTTCCCATATTTTTTGGATGGATGATGGTAATAGGTATCAAACACTTATCATATTTAAATTCTGCCAGAAGCATTTAAAAAAGTGACATAACTATTTTTCTTTAAATGCTAGAATGTAAATACACAAGAATTTGCATCCTTTGTCACTATTTAAATTCATGGTAAAAAAATGTTAGATATTAGCTTATATGTGGAAAAAAAAAACAAAAAAACTTAGCTTCCAAATTGCTTTAAAGGCAACACAAGCAAGAAAATTGAAAGCCCACTGACAAAGTTCTTTCCTATTCTCATCTGATACCTGATCACAAATTTTAACATTGGCATTTTTTTTTATAAATTGAGGGTTACTTCACTTAGTCCAATTTTCCCTAAAATACTATTTGAAAATCTTTTCAGTTATTTTGATTTGAAATCATTAGGGCAAAAGATTGAGGAATACTTTATCAATTTTCTTAGCTTGTGACTTAAATAATCCCAGATAATATTTTTGAATAAAGTATTTCTTTTACTAAAGTCCACAAGTGGCACAACTCAGTGAGCACAAGAATACTGAGACTAGTTGGGCATGGTGGCACATGCCTGTAATCCCAGAGACTCAGGAGGCTGAGGCAGGAGAATCACGAGTTTAAAGCCAGCCTCAGCAAAAGCAAGGCACTAAGCAACTCGGTGAGACCCTTTCTCTAAATAAAATACAAAATAGGGCTGGGAATGTGGCTCAGTGAACTAGTGTCCCTGAGTTCAATCCCTGGAACACCCCGCTCCACACAGACACACACACACACACACACACACACACACACACAAAAAAAAAAGAATAGTGAGACTATAAAAAAGAAAAGAGAAAAAAGGAATTTGATACATGATTGCTGATGTTGGAGTTGGTGGCCTATCATGGAGTCTATTTTTAAAGACCATTTTTTTCCACTTAGGAAACTTATGAGGCCAGAATTTAAACATCTGGTTGGAAGGGATGGCATGCTCCTACTCAAAATCACATTTTAAGTACCCCCTTTCAGAGAGAGAGCTGGGTGTGCTGCATCCTACTTGCAAATACAATAAAAACCATAGGATTTGGCTTCATTTCTACAAAGCACAGGACATAGCTTTCCTAGCAAATCAAATTGCTAAACACTCTGTAGCTTGAGTGTAGAACTGACTCCAAAGTTGCTAGGAGTTCTCTGGCAAGAGTTTCAAGACCTCTTTCACACTCTGGGTGAGCATGCCAGGTGGTTCAGGAAGAACCCCAGCCAAGTGGAAATGTGCCTAGAGAACTGCAGGGTTTAAATCTGAAAGTGCAGGGGGTTAAATGACAATGGTTTATAGGAAAAATTAGGGCAGTGACCAGAAATAAGGAGATGTATGAAAATACACAGGGTAACTTACATATGGTAGGGCTGTTATCTCTATGGAGTGCCCCTGTTAACCCAAGTCTGTGTCCCCAACTGAAAACAGAGGGACTTCAACATATTGTTTCTTTTGTGATCTTTTTATGACACTCTGTGTAGCCATAAATGTTCTGTCTGTTTATTTCATCTAGACCGGGCAAGTTCTTATGGGCGGTCCTCATGACTTAATATCATGTGAAATATGAGTTTCATATCTGTGAACAATTACCCCTCCCCAGTGGCCCATGCTAGTCCAAATTTTCCTCAATCACTGTAGCATACAGCAGACCTTAAGGACATGTAGACTCCGACATTTATGGGGAGTGCAAATTGCTGAGGTGGCCCTAGAATGATGAGGTTGAAGGAGAAATAACAGGGGTCCAGGAGAACTGTTTATGAACTGCAGCTGCTGGGCTCACTGCGTAGGAGTTCACTAAATCTCTGTCACTGTCATGAGTACTCTGCAGATCCCCCTCCGAGACAATAGGACAATGCATCCTCTGTTGGTTTATCATCGGCGTAGGGAATAAAGAGGATGCTCAGGGGGGCCACATCTCCTCCCTGTGGCAATGAAAAGGAGCCCTCCCTTTTAGTAATAATTGGATTTTACTTGGGGAGAAACTGGGTCACCTTCTTGGGAAAAGAAAACATAGTGACTTTAAAAAAGCTTCCACCCATTATTATAAAAATCGCCATATTACATCCCAATGTGGTGGTTTATACCTCTATGTTCTTTACTTATGAAAAGAAGCAGAGTTTCTTCATTTCTTCAGTTTGGCCATTCACAACATCTTTTTGGAGAACCATGAAGACTATAATATTCTCACACTGTCTTGCTCCCAAGACTGCCATGGAAAGACTTTCTTATCACAAATGCCACTTTCAGGTTTTTATTTCACTCTTCCATATCTGAAAACTTGGAATTTTATAGCTCTGAAATCATTATTAAAACAATATTCTCCATCTTGGGATGGCTGAAGCATTCCCTTGTCAATTGTTGCAACATCCAGTTTATTGATCGTAATCAACCAAGGCATTCATTGTTGAATTCTTCCCATTCCATGGAAAAAGGAAGCAGAAGATTTTAGCAATGATACATTTATTTTGGGAAATGTCAGGTGCAGGGTTTGTCTGACAAGTTCCCACTAGAGCATAGACTGAAGGAAGTCTATTTTTCGACCTTTGATTCATTATTCAGAATTTTATATTGCCCAAGGACTTGGCTTAGCTGCTGAATTGAAGGTATGCCTAGGATAGACTTTCAGTAGGATCTCAAGTTTTTCAAGACATGGAGACCCTGGCAATTCAGACAGAGAACATGCAAATTGTGCTCTGCACAAGCACCTGTCTTCATGTTGATGGAATCCATCACTTTCTATAACAGCAGGATCAGTTCATTTTCATCTGAGGCCAATGTGGTTTTGATGAGCTCAGCAATGTATCTACTGAATGCCACCAGATAATTCAAAAGTCCATAGGGATGAAAGGTGAAGTCAGAAACAAGAAGGTTAGACAGGTGTTCAGGGAGGGCTAGAATTTGGATCAAGAAAATCTGAGCTAACTCCTCTACTAGAAGAAAATGAAGGATTTCTCCCCTCTTTTCCCTCCTGTTACAGCATAAGGTCTTAAGGGACCCTTAGCTCCAACTAATCTGTGTCAAATGCCCATGTCAGAAAGGGACATGGGTAGGGTATATGTCTGTGGCATAGATTATTTACTTTATTTGACACAAGGCTAGGTCCCCTTTGGAAAGCTTGCTTTGAATTATTCAGTCTACCCAGAGTTAGAGCCTCAATTTTGCAAAGCTCCAGATAGGATTACCTAGGCACTAAGCTCACTAAGAGAAAAGAGATTCCACCAAGGATACAAATTAGTAAAGGTCTTTGGGGGTGAAAAGGAGTGGGGGGAAAAGGTGAGGTGAAAGGGTGGGAGATAAGGATTTTTTTAAAAACTTCCCATCAATGAAACTATGTTGTTTTTGTTATAGTCACCTTCCGTGTCTTCAAGGTGACCCTATATAGACTCACTTGGAGAATATAATCAAGAAAAAAGAAATTTTTGATTCAGTTTATTTATTTATTTATTTTACTGTAAAACAGCACATTTACGACGAGGAGAACGTGATCTTGATGTGAGCAGCTAATTGTTCAGTGAGACGCACAGCTGACTGCTCGGTTCTGGTGCTGGAAGTGCTAGAGGTGCTGGCCAATGGGACCCCTCCCTGGCTTATAGCTTCTTCTTCTGGGCTGGCATTATGCAGCTGGTCCTTTTACAAACACTGGCTTTCTGACACATGGCGCCTTAGCCAGCAGGGGGCCAAGGCTGGGCAGCTCCAAAGTCCTTCTTCCACAGAATCAAATGTGCTTGCATTCACAGTTATTTATTAATAAACAAATATTTACTGTGCCACTATGAAGACAGCACAGTGATTAAAACACGAGTTCCAGAGACTGACTGTCAGGGTTCAATGCTACCTCTGTCACGTAGGAGCTCCGTGATCTTGGCAAGTCATTAACCCCTCAAAGCCTCAGTTTCTTCTTCTATGAAAGAGGAATAATAAATACTTACTAATTATTCAGGGTTAGTGAGGATCAAATGACAATGTTATTGGATGTTTGTAAAGTCAGCTCCCTGTAAGAACTTGATCAGACTTTACTAGGCACACTCAGTGGCTGGGATATGAGAGGAAGATGAGTTAATTTTCTCGCTTCTGTTCTTTCTAATCCTATTAAGCGGATCCCTAATGCTCTTTGTCACTCACAGAAAATTAAAAAAAAAAAAGTGCTCTGATTATTTTGGTGCCAAGAAGAGTCTTTCTTCCAGAAATTCAAATGTCTAGTCTGGTATAATAAACACATTTGGAAGTTCTATTGAATTTAGGGCTTCCCTCCACCCAGCTCACCCAGGGCCAGGAGGTTCAAGTGGAAGAAGGGAGAGTGGCAGGTATCCCTTGTCCTTTTAGCTCCATTTCCTACCCACTCCTTAGCTATGACTCTAGACTTCTCCCAGGTCCAGGGGAAAGGAGGGCATAGGAAAGGACACCATACGGTAGCAACTGCAGCTGGTATCTAGCCTTGAGGCTCCTGAGCTGGGTGGCTGTTCAGAGTCAGCCCTTGGTTGCCCCAGGCACTGCCCCTTCCTTTGTGTGTCGAAAGCCTGTGTCCTAGACCAGTATTTCATGTTCCGGAGGCCCATTGTCTGCTGTCTCCCTTGGCTGAAGGTGAAGAGAAGGCATGTTCCTTTTCTGGGCTGTCCTGTCCTGCTGTCACAGGTATTGGCCCTGGCACAGAGAGATCAATGAGCCAGCCCTCCATCACAATGGGTTTTCCCTAATTTTGCTGTCTCGTCACTTTTTCTTTCTCCAGTGCCCTGGCTGGTGCTCAGCGAGATCTTCCCTGGTGGGATCAGAGGACGAGCCATGGCTTTAACCTCTAGCATGAACTGGGGCATCAATCTCCTCATCTCTCTGACGTTTTTGACTGTAACTGGTAAGAACTCTTTGTTTTCCTCTGATGATTTGTATCCTCTTAAGACAAACATTAGGGATGGACATCCTTGTAAAAAAATTATTGTGGAAAATTTCAAACACACTCAGAGGTAAAGAATGACAATGAACCTTCTGTACCTATTACCTATCTTAAAGCTGTTCTCAGTCTTAATTCATTTATGACCCCGCCTGATCTTCCTCCTACCAAATTTAGTTGTATCTTACACATAATGTCATTTTTGCCTGTAAAATTTCAGCAGGGACCTCTAAAAAAAAGATATTTAAAAAAATAGGACCACAGTATAATGGAAAATTTTAATAATCATCCTTAAGTATCAAATATCCTGTCTGTGTTCACATTTTAGTAATTGTCTTATAATTACTTTTTATACTTTGGCTGAATCACATTCAAATATATAATCTACAATGAAATGTATGAAACACAACTTTGTCAGTTTCATCTCCATTCCCCTCACCTTTCACCCCACCTTATATTTTTATGAAGAAATTGGATCATTTGTTTCATAGAATTTTAGAGAGTCTGGAATTTGTAGATTGTTCTTATATCACATGTCCATCTATTCTTTGTGTTTCCTGTACATTAATATTTAGATCTAGATGGGGACTTGAGGAGGTCTAGGTATTCTGGTTTGTTTGCAAACTCCCTGGTAGGTGACAGCGTTTGTCCTACCTTCAGGAGGAATGTCAGGAATGGTCTCCTACTTTGCCATGTTAAACTGCTGTGAGCCACTATTTTCTAAACCCACTATCTTTATTCTACCATTCCTTCTATGTTTTTATATGGAATACTTCTCTAGAGAAAAATTTCTTCTTAGTGATTTAGCTAACCTGAAGTGTGGATTATAGAAGACAGGCAAGATGAGTGCTTGGAACTTTATTTTTAGTTCCCAAAATAATGAGGTGGTGCCCCAACATCCTCTAAAATTGACCAGTGAGGCAGGTATCATCCCTAGTCTCCAACCATAAGTCCAGGCAGGACTAGGGCAGAAAGAGATCAACGGGTTTTTCTTATTTCACATATATTTAGGGGTCATTCTGGCTACAATAAATAAAAAAATCCAAATTAGAAAATTTTATTAAACAAATTACCCAGTTTCTTCAATTTGTATGTGTAGTCTGCATTCATATTTATGTGTATGTTTGTATAGTTTATTTTCAAAAGTGGATATTTACTTAATGTGCACACACATGTTTATATATGAACATATGTATACATAAATATATGCATACACACATATACATATGTGTATATATTTAGTATATTACTTTTGGAATTAGCTTTTGAAATTGCTAGGTAAGCATGATTTTGGTTTTCATATAAAATTGTCAAATCCTTATGTCCTACATTTTTAGAAATAGCCTAAGATTGAAGGAAACTACACTGCTGGTTATTAGCATTGGCCATACCTCTCCTGCTCAGATAACTCACATAAATATGTGCCCTTCACCTTCACTCACCCACACACATTCACACGTGCGCACACACACTTCATTCGCTGTTTGGTGTGAGGAAAGAAATATTTAAAAAAAGAGAGAGAATTGGAATGTCAAGGCATAAAAAAATGACACAAACCCTTGGGAAGGCTAGCTAATATATTGGATGAGCTAATGAAGATTTGAAGTTCTCCAAATGGGCTTTTTAGAACAAATGTTAGGAAAAATGATCCAAATTTTTAAAAGCCTGGAATGATCTAAAACTTTTAGATGATATTTAATGGGGGTACTTGAAGATTTCTACTTATTTTTGAAAGTCAATTTTCCAAGTATGGGTTAGAAAGACCTTAAAGATGTGAGGCTCTAGCTGGCAACAAGCCCTCAGATACCAACATTTTGATGAAATTTCATTTGAATCAATAAAAGCAGACTGTTCCAGATAGGAAAACATATTGTACAGTGGGCATGACCCAACTGCAGTATTGTGTTCAGCTCAAAGCATTCTGAAAAGGTTACTTAAAAATTGCAGTGTGTCCACCCAAGGAGGGCGACCTGGATAACCAAGGCAGGTCACCTATGCTCTGAGAAGAATGGAGGGGAGTTCAGGATGTTCAACTTGGACAAGAAAGTCTCAGGAAAGGGACAGAGTGCATTCAAATATTTGCATGGCTGTCATTAAAACGGGGTTGTGAACACATATTTATACATATACATATATGTATGTGCAAAGTGCACACATGTATACACATACACCTATATACATAAATATATGTACACATATACGTTCATGAATATACATTTAGTATATCACCTTTGGAATTTACTTTTGAGGGTCTTACTAATTAAGCATGATTTTGGTTTTAATGTAAAATGGTCAAATCATTCTATCTTATAAAGCAGAATGACTAAAGGGTAGATTCAGGTGACAAAGAACTTTTGAGCAGAGCGAGCTGGATCACCGTGCAGGGGGAAGCTTGGGAAAAGGTGAGCTCCTTGCTACTGAAAGTGCTCTAACAGAACTGAGGTCAAATTCAATGAGACAGCCTTTTGGGGTTTTCAATTCCATATTCAAGTTTACAATTCAGAGAAAGAGAGAGGACCAATTCTATAAGCACTTTATTAAGCAATAAGTCAGGCCGAGCCCTGTACCAGCAATGGCCAAAGGGACTGCTCTTCCTGCTCATCCCACCTCAGCAAAACTCACTCACATGTGATTACTATGCTTAGATCTTTCCACACTGCACTTACCAAATCAGCCTCAGTATACAACCTCTTCATTTTCCTGCCTGACCAACTGTGATTTGTGGCTGCAGCTGTTAAGAGCTATTTGCAAATCTTATCTACAGTTGGCCTGAGCTATGTATGCGCAGAAAGAGCCAACTACTTTCTCACTACTCCTTGTGACACGGAACTTCATGCTGCTGAGCCAGGAGCCAGCACAATGCAAGTGGCTAGCACAGTGCAAATGGGGAGGGGTGGCACACCTCATCACTTAATGTTCCTTGATATTGGCCAGTGACTACAAAGGGATTGTACCACTGACTAGAAGTGGTCAAGGGAAAAACTAGACTGGCAAAGTGAAACCCATCAAAATCTTGAGGATCTTGCTTCTTGATGCATCTTAGCTCACTGGTGTCTTTCTTGGACCCAATATCACATGTTTTTCCCTCTGGACCTAGAAAGAAGTATTACAAAGTATACAACTGACTATTAAAAAGTGATCAAATATTGCATGAAGTAAGTTACTCATATCACAGTAAAATAGAATGCACCCAATCTAAGAAAAGTCCATCTGTATAAATGTGTCACTACAAATGTCCACCAAATAAAAACCAAACTGCTACAGTGTCAATTCCCAAGAGGGAAAACTATGGAGGGTGAGAAGAGAAATTTTATCTTCTGCATTGTATTTTTCTGTATGGCTTTAGGATTTGTTTTCACTATGACCATGCCCAGCAAGAAGATGGCAATTGAATTTAAATTGGGTTAGTCACAAGATTATTATTTACCAGAGAAAGCTGACATCATTAGTAAGAACATGTTTCCAGAGCTGACTACATTTTAAATTCATGAATCCTATTTCGCTGGATACTACTAGCATTTGTGAAAATACATATGGCTTTATATATGCTTTAAAAAGCATTTATAAAATGGGATCCAAGCAACACAAAACACATTTCTAATCAATTTCTTTTGTTCCTTATAGATCTTATTGGCCTGCCATGGGTGTGCTTTATATATACAATCATGAGTTTAGCATCTCTGGTTTTTGTTATTGTTTTTATACCTGAAACAAAGGGATGCTCTTTGGAACAAATATCAATGGAACTAGCAAAAGCGTAAGTATTTGTATGCATTGATCTTTGAACAATAAATAAATAGCCTTTAGTCAAACATGCAGCTTTTGCCAGGTATAGTGGCTCATGCCTGTATAATCCCAGCAACTTGGGATGCTGAGATAAGAGGATTGTAAGTTTAGAGCCAGCCACAATAATTTAGTGAGGCCCTAAGCAACTTAGGGAGACATTGTCTCAAAATAAAAAATAAAAAGGACTGGGGATGTGACTCAGTGGTAAAGCAACCCTGGGTTCAATCCCCAGTACCAAAACAGACAACAACAACAACAAATCCCCAAAACCCCAAATCCACAACTTTTATATACAGTTAAATAGTAATATCTGAAGTTCTTTCCAGATATTCCTTTGGTGTAAGACTGTCTCAGTGCATAATCTGGTTTCCCTGCCCTGTCATCAATGTGGGTGATTCAGTCAAGGAAGTGGAAAAAGCACTGCTTTCCAGCAAGTGAAGCTCTTTTTTGGGGGGAGGGTAACCAGGGATTGAATCCAGGGGTGCTTAACCACTGAGCCACATCCCCAGTCTTTTGTATTTTTTATTTTGAGACAGTGTCTTCCTAAGTTGCTTGGGGCTTTGCTTTTAAAGCTCTGTTCAGTAAGGAGCAGAGAACCTCAACCATCTCTCTAGCTTTTGGCAAAAAAAAAAAAAAAAAAAAGGCATTCTTTGAGACCTGGGGTGGATGTTGGGATAACATGTCCACCCTGGGCCAGGACCATGGCTTCAGCCCTTCATCTGTTATCAGACTTAACAGATCTTTGATCCCTAAGCACTTATTAAGGCTGTCATTATCAGCCTTAATAAAACTTTTGGGCCTAAACATCCATAATTGTTCAAAATATGGCACATTCTAGGCAATTTTGAGACAGAACGAGTGTTTCTTATATGATATAAGCATTTAAAAAACGGGGTAAATGAATTTAAATAATTTAATTCAGTAGTGGGCCATGGAAAACTTTCTTTTAGTAACACAACTCAAAGCTCTTAACTGCCAAAATGGATGGCCTGGGGGAAGAGGTGACACATAGGAGTAGGAATGAAGGCCAACTTGTTTCTTTCCTTAGGATCAAATCATTACACATAGAAATGTAGGGATATTTATTATTGGGTATTAATATAACAGGAAAAATCACATTGTTGACTTGTGATTCTTTTATGAGTTGTGATTTTCATTTAAAAACGTTTAATACACTTAGAGGGAAATATGCTTACAGAAACTGTGGGCATACTGATCCTCTAGTTTTTATCTGAAGGAAGAATAAGCCTGATAGGTGAATTGATGGTGGGTATATATGTTGAGATTTTAAAAATATTTTACTTTAGTAAGCAGAAAAACTCTTCTTAATTTAAGCCATAAGGTAATTATCAAATGGTAGGGCTAAGTTTTGATACAGATGAGGTTATTTTTTTTAAAGTAAAATAAAAACAAAAATGATTCATTTACAGTGAGAAATACAGAAAGGCTATATATCCTCAGCCTGACCAGCACACTGCCTGGTTTTATGCAAGTTGAAGTCAAATAATTAGCATAGGCTCTGAACAAGATTATTAATTACAGATATTTGATTTGAATCATTACTGGCCTCAGACCTCAGTAACTCAATGCCTCCACCTGGAACTGGAAACCTTCCTGACAGATTCAGGCCATTTCCAGTACTGAGATACCAGGACACCAGTGACTTGCATATCCATTGGTCTCTGCCTTTGCTTTTCCTCCTTCCCTGTTCTGGTTTCACTTCAGTTACCTATTGCTACATAACAAATCATCCCACTATATTGCCTAACACAACAGCTGCTGTTTCCCATGACTCTTTGGCATGGCTGGGTGGTGCTGCCTGTTTCACTTGGATTCACTCATGGGCTATGTGGGTGAGATGGTCAGATGCACTGCAAGGCCCATGATCACATCTGGCTGCATTGAGTGGGTAGGTGGTGGTAGGTTCTGGTGGTCAGTAGGGAGCTTCAGTGCTCCTGCACATGGCTTCCCATCTTCTAGGAAGCAAATGTGGCTTTCTCTCATGCAACACTGCAAGGTGGTGGAGGCTGAAACTCCAAGGCCCTTTTGCATTCTGAAATTCATATATCTCATCTGTTTTCTGTTGCCATTAGAAGTAGTAGACCTTACTATTTTTTTTTTTTTTTAAGTACTGGGGACTGAATCCAGGGCCTTTGCATTTGCTAGGCAAATGCTCTACTACTGAGCCATATGCTCAGGCCCATACTTTATCTTTTGATGGAATGAAGGGCAAAGAATTTTTGACCACATCAAATCTACCACACCTACCTTATTTATTTATACATGCTGTGGGTTGAACTCAAGAATACTCCAGCTCTAAGCTACCCTCCCAGCCCTTATTACTTTTTTGAGACAAGGTCTCTCTAAGTTGCCCAAGCTTGCCTCATACTTGCAATCAAACTAAGTTTCCCAAATAGCTGGGATCACAGGATAGGCTACCATACAAAGTCTACTCCTCCTTTTTTTTTTTTTTTTAACTCTCTCTTTTAGCTCCCATGAAACAATCTTCTTGCCTAAATTTCCTTCTCCTCTCTGTCTTTTATGTCCTTATTTCTCCTTCTATTTCCACGTTAGTACTATCTCTCAAGACTTACAGCTACATCCCTATGCTTTAAGAGTCAATTCAAATCCTCAGCCTAAAACCCTAAGTAACCCAAACCTGGGAAGAATTCCTTTTTCCCAGACTTTCAATATTTCCTAGTCACATTTTCTCCTATTTTGCCTTAGCTAGCACTCTTACAATTAAACCTCTTTAGGTTGATGAAGTTTTGGTTTCCATGAATGCTCTTTATCCATTATCTTTCTTACATAACCTCGATAGTATTTAGCGTCACACTGATTCCTAGCAGATGACTGAAAAATATTTGCAATCTACTGTGATAAGTTACTTATATTGAAGGAACTGGGACATCTCCCAAGATTCAAAGACTAAACTAGTATACAGTGTCAATCACTGATTTGAGACACAGAGGGGAAGAAAGAACAGGTTCGGGAGTCGGAATCTGGTGGGGGTTTAAGGGTAATGCTGAGCTCAGTTTGTACATATTACATTTGAGGTGACTATGGGACAGGAAGATGGAAGGGAAGGAATGCAAGCCCCATCAGGACCGGAGTTTTGGGGAAGTATCCACATAGGGGATAGAAAATGGCTGTTCAACATGTAGGTATTAGGTATGCAGGCAAGGTCAGAGTAAGGTACATTTTGTGGAGCCTAAGCTTTTGAGAGTCCTATTTAAGAAACTATTACAAGTTATGAAATGCAAAATTGGGTGTGACTGTGTGAGTCTTGGAAAAGGCTAGGAAGAGAGAGGCCTGGAGGCTCTCACTGGCCTCATCATCAGTCCATTTGATGCATATGCCCTCTCAAATTACCCATTTACTATCTTCAGAAGGCAAATTCCTTTAAAAACAGAGGTTCGTTAAAATTCTTGTTAAGGACTGGGGCTGTAGCTCAGTGGCAGAGCACTTGCCTAGTATGTATGAGGCACTGGGTTTGATCTTCAGCACCATATAAAAATTAAAAAAATAATCTTATTAACAGCACTAACTAAAAAATTGAGGCAGGGAGAAAGCAGTAACAAATTGCTACTTGAAAGAATTATTATGTTTATTCTATGAATTGAATAAAACTAAGGGTCTGTTACTATCACTCCCTATTTTATTTTACTCTTTAAAGAGTCAAATTAGAGCTGGGTGTCGTGGAGCATGCCTTTAATCCAAATAGCTCGGGAGGTTGAGGCAGGAGTTCAAAGCCAGCCTCAGCAAAAGTGAGGTGCTAAGCAACTCAGTGAGACCCTGTCTCTAAATAAAGTACAAAATGGGGCTGGGATGTGGCTCAGTGGTTGAGTGCCCCTGAGTTAAAACCCTGGTACCCCTTCCCCCCAAAAAATAGTCAAATTTGAAAGCAGGGAGCTGTGCACAACTGAAGATCAAGAGACTTTCAGATCTCTTTCATATAGGGTTGTCAAATGTATCATATTGCAAACCAAATGAAAATTTGAAGACAGAATTTAAGAAAATGCAATCTTTTCATGTAGTGGGCTTCCAGAATGAGACATTTCTTAAGAACATATGATTTGGATGTCTAAAACTCAACAAAGCTTATGAATTCAGAATCTAGGGTGGGGAAAGAACCTGTCTAAAGAAGGACATTTATGACTTGTGAAATGTTTCTGAAAGAATCATGTTTCTGTTACTTTTGAGTTGTGCAATTCCTCAAATGCAGGCTCCCTCAAAGAAAGCTGTAAATCATAAATTAAGAATGTACCAAAGCTGAAGGTATGGTGAACCTAAATGACACTTTGAGGTTTGGGCTGAAGGACAAAAATAGATAAGGACATTGGGGCAGAGAAATATGAAAGATAAGACAGAAACAATTCTGCACTTTCAGTTCTAGCCACAATAGAATAGTAGGTGTGTACCATAGGGAAGCCCAGTACTGAGGGCACAAACAGAAAATAATTTACTTCTAGAAATCTTTGTTAACACCTATTTATGCAATACAAGAAAGCCCAGGGTTTTTCTTTGCTTGATGCAGTAGGTTAGCAAAAGAATTTAAAATAAAGATGAAAGCAGACTAAATTATGTAAACTGACCAAAGTATGTATGAAGCATATCTCAAACAAGCTTCCCTGGAGAGAAATGTCCAAGCGAATAAAATAAAATAATCACAAAAGTCATGGTATTGATGAGTTTTCAAACAGCTAAGGAAATGAGGGGCAAAGCCCATGGACCTTGCTAGTACAGAGAAGCTGCAGTGAACTTGAAGACTAAGGAAGCACACTCCTAAGCTAAGGAAGTCTTTAGGAATTTAGAAGTTAATAAAACAGTGAATCAACTTTTGAAATCTGTGATAAGTTGTCCTAAGGAGTAAGAAAGGAAACTATTTATAATATTAGATGAACTTCAATTTTGATACTACACTTTGCTTAATATTTTCCTCTCTCACATTTGGAGTTGGGTTCTTTTACT